TCAGCTTCCCAAGCCCTGTAAATTAAAAAAAATAGTTTTGGAGAGAGAAGGTCTTGCTATGTTCCCAGGTTGGTCTTGAACGCCTGACTTTGAGTGATCCTCTCATCTTGACTCCCCAAAGTGCTAGGATTGCAAGCATAAGCCGCCGTGGCTGGCTAAGTTTTAACATATTCTTATCCAGCTTCCCAGCATTTTTACCTCTAAGAATACCTCCTGAAAGGGGAAAATTAATTTACTCAGATATTTAGCTATAATAATATTACAAAAATTTATATACCTCTCAAATGCTCAATAACAGAGGGATTTTTTAAAAAGTAAATCTTGCTCTTACCATATAATAAAAAACTATGAGACCCCTTGTAGTCTCATGCTTTGGTAAGATGGCTAATGACAGATAACTTTACTTTTTTGTCAAGGGAAGATAGTTTATAAAACAACATATACACTACTGATTAAAATTTAAAATACATATATATATACACTACATATACACATAAGTAGAAAGAATGAGAGAAATTGGAAGCCAAGAATGGGAAAAAATCGTTTACATATTAAATGATAACAGTGGTTTTTATTTTCTTTATGCTTTTTAGAAACTTTTACAAAGATCATGCATAGACTTCTGTCATGGTAAAGCTGACAGTGACAGAAATGTTTAAAAAGGTCTCCAATGACTGTCATCTCAGGGCAGAGTCCAGTTCCTTAGCGAGTACATCAGGCCCTGGCCCCAGTGGCCTCTGAAACTTCTGCTAATGTGTATGGAGTTTCGTTGGGTGCCGTCCACCATTTCTGATACTTCCCTAAATGGGGACTGTATTTATGTTTTAACAGCTATGTGCTGTTTCATTTGCCAGGAATGTCCTTCCACTCCCCCACTTGCTTCTTGACTACACTCTCATGAAAGGGTCACCTTTCCTGGGAAACCACCCAAGCAGAGCTAACCACTTCCTGCTCCCACTCTACTCTGTGCGAGCACTGTTTTGAACCTTGTGTGGCACTGCTGCTATGTTTGCACTTCTCTCTCAAGAGTCATTTGAGGATTAGGCCAAGGTCTTAATCGTTCTTGTTTACTCCACAGTCCTGAATAAATGCTTATGGAGTAAATGAGTGAACGAATGAATGAGTCTGGCTGAGCTCCAGGCTCACAAACTTGCAGAAGATCTGTACTCTGGTGCCCCATTGGTCCCTAAATGCAACATGCTCCAAACTGAGCCCACCATTTTTCTCCGTAGGATACCTCAACTCTTCAACTCTCTTTACCAATCTTAGTTCTTTTTGTGTATGTCCCATCTCTGTGATTGGAGCCTATCCCACTCCAGTGACTGGAGCCGGGATTGTGGGTATCTCATTCCCTTGGGCTATCAATTCTATCACTTACATGGCTCTCGGGTTGTGTTCCCTTCTTTCTTCTGCTGCTGACCTCTCTCCCTCACTCTCACTTTCACTTGATCATCTGCCACAGCCTCCTCACCTCTACCCTGCTATAAACCCCTCAATGACTTCTGTTTCTCACAGGGTAAAGTCAAAACTCTTAACCAGGCCAGGAGCCGTTGCTCACTTCTGTGATCCCAGCAGTCAGGGAGGCTGAAGTAGAAGGATTGCTCAAGCCCAGGAATTTGAGACATAGTTATACCTTGTCTCCTAAAAAAATCCAAAAATTATCTGGGCATGGTGATGTGCACCTGTAATCCCAGCTTCTTGGGAGTCTGAGGTGGGATGCTTGAGCCCAGGAGTTTGAAGCTGTGGTGAACTGTGATTGTGCCACTATACTCCAGCCTGGGTGATAGTGTAAGATCCAGACTTAAAAACAACAACAACAAAACTCTTGACCAGAGTAAAGGGGCTGTATGTTGCAGCCCCCTCAGCCCCAACCTGTCTTTCCAGCCCTCTATTCCCCCCATTTCATCCTCTCCCCCACCTATTTCATCTTTCTCAGGAACAATCTGAAAAGTTTTTTCTTGCCTCTGTGCCTCGTGCATGCTGTTGCTTTGTGTGGAATCATTTTTTCCAACTCTCTTCCCTCCCTAACTTATTAATCAAATCTTAATTTAAAAGACACTTCTTCTAGGAAGCCTTCCCTTACTTCCCAAGTCCTAATTAGGCCTCTCCTCATATGCATCCTCATAGCTCCCTACGCTTCCTCCAGATAACCTTTCTCACATTGTATTTAATTGTTCACTTAACTTGTTCTTCTCTTCAATAGACTGTAGGGGGCACAGGGCAGTAGGGGTGGAGTAGGGGAGAGTAACTGAGTCTATTTGTGAACACTTCTCCAATGTCCAGCAAAAAATTTAGTCCTTAATAAGTGGTTAGCATTCAATAAGTAATCAGATGAATGAAATTTTGCTTTTACAGATGCTAATTCAAACTTTGGGACCAGACAAGACATCTGGTTCTTCATCTCATGATGAAAGGGGAGAGGGAATAGCAGTACTGGGCAACTGACTGACCCAGAGAGGGACCTCTGGGGAAAAGGCTGCTGTATTGGGCCTTTCTGGGGGGTGCTTTTCATCTGAATGCCTTTCTGCACATGCACAATCAACTTCCTCCAAGGATCATGAGTTTTTCCAAGACTCACAGGAACCTACCCTAAAGAGTAAAGGAAGTTCCCTGTGTGTTTCTTAATGACAGCTTCAAAGTATTTTCAGAGTTCCTGAGTTAACTATCCCAGAACTGAAACTTTGAATAGTGTCAAGTTCCCTGTGGAGACGCAGCTGGGCTGGAGCTCAGGATGGCCCACAGTCAGGATAGAAAAGGACAGCAGTGGTGTTTGGGTGGGGCAGGCGGTAGTGTAAGCTCCAAAGAATGAAACTGGCTAAGTCAAGTTCAGGTGAAACCAGCATCTATGGGAAGACAAAGGGTAAACCAGGTCGGTAAACCGGGTTGGTGTGATGGTCTCGAGTCTTGGTTGGCAAACATTCCAACACTTCTCCCTTCCCCCTCCTCCTTAGGCCTGGGTGTACTTACAGCTTCACTGACTGTGAGTTTGGCCATGTGACCTGTGATGGCCAATGGATTGTGAGTAGACAGGATGTGCACAGAGGCTTTAATACACTTATGTGGTCCTTCCCTCTCATGTTCCTTTCCTTCCTGTAGAGAAGAATATACCCTAGGTCACCACTGTTCCTTCAGCCTGGTCCCCTGAATGTAAGTTTTGGACACATTTAGTTTGAGATGGCTATTAGAGATCTAAGCAGAGAATGTGAGTTCAGAAGGTGGTCTGGGCTGGAAACATACATTGGAGTCATCTGCAGATACATTTAAAGCCTTAAGACAGATGATCTCACTGAAGTTGGGTATGAATAGAAAGGAAGTCCACAGACAGTCCCGGTTTCCTCCAATATTTAGAGGTCAGAGAGCTGAGAAAGAATCAGCAAGAAGATAGACACAGAGCAACCAGAAAAGCAGACAGACACCAGGCTAGTCATAGGTCCGAGGAGCCACATGGAACGAGGGCTCAGAGTTGGAGAGAGCCATCAATTGTGTCTGACACTGCCGATAGGCCAGTAGATGACAAGGGAACAGTCACCATGGGTTTAGTGACAGGGAGGTCATCAGTATCCTTGATGAGAATATGTTCTGTGGAGTCATAGGTACATAACATCAACAGAAGGGATTCAGGAGACACCTGCAAGTGTAGATAATTCTTATGAAGGCTTTGCTCAGAAAAGGAGAAAAATGAGATGGTAGCCTGAGGGGGAGGTGGCATCAGGAGAATGTTTTTTAAAATATGGGATAAAAAATAGTATGGTTGAATGCTGATGAGTAAATCCAGGAGAGAGAAGAAATTGATGATGTGCTAGACATGGGGGAATGATGACAGCCAGTTCATCCATTGTACCAGGGAGAAGTTCAAGGGTATGGCTTGTATGCAGGTAGGTGGGCAGATAGCATGAGGAGAGACTGGGAACACGCTCTTCCAATTGCATCAATTTCCCCAAAAACAGGAAGCCAAGTTATCAACAGAGAGTGGACAGGTATGTGAGGGATGGTAGTGGGAAATGAAGAACAGAGCCGTTCAGGAGAGTTGAGAATGAATGGACCAAGGGTATACAGCTTACATGCTGGTTAGCAACAAGAGTTCTGAGTGCTTTTTACCTACTAGCTACCAAAGCCTCATGACAGTTCTATGACGTAGGCCCTATCATTTGCCCCATTCACAGATGAGAAGTAATGCATAGAGTGGTCAAGAAATTTGTCCAAGTTCACACAGCAAGAAAGTCAGAATTTGAGCACAGGCAATCTGGTTCTAGGGCCCCAAAACTTAATCACTAGGTTAAGCTGACCAAGTTAAACATATGAAAACCTGTCACAGAAATGAACTAAATAGGATTAATGTTGAATTAATGTTTGTGGTGCAACCATTGTGTGTCAAGCTCTGTACAAGATTCCTTTGCAAAAACTCTGAGTCATGGTTACTATTGACCCCATTTACTGATGAGGACATTAAGGTCTGGAAAGATTCAGTTGTGTATTAAAAGTTCTAGAACTAGGAAATGGAAGAACTGATTTTGGTTTGACTCTAAAGCCCACGCCCTTTGCAAAATGCCAAAGAAACCTTATGACATGTGAGTGGGTCTACCCAGCTAAAGTTGATGTATTAGTTAAATACAACCCTCCCTACATCAGGCTGAGATCACTTGCAATCTTTATCCTGAGCAGTTGGAGAACTTGTTCTTACAGCAGAAAGAGTCCTTTCTGCTGGAAGAGCAGGGCAAATTTAAAACAAGGTAACTTCGGGGGGATGCTGGCTGTCTTTCTGACTAGTTTTGGATGCTTGATCCATTAGGTGAAGAGGGAAGCTCAGAGTTGAGGCATATGATAAATCTTAACATTTTCTTCTTCTTTTTTATTAAAAACAAAGCATTTTATAACAAAGCACTCACTCTAGTTTTATGAGCATTTCCAAAAACGATTTTCTCAACCAAAAGTGCCCAGAATGCATCATCTTCAGTGAACAGCCACCCACTTCCTCAAATGCAAGGAAGCAGACAGTTAAAAAAAAAAAAGCTGAGAGGCAGCAGTTGTTTATCACCGCCTCGCCTCAGTGAGGCCTGAGATTCTTTCGAATAGGAGCTTTACTTCCCATGGCACACAGGGAAGTGTCAACTGGGATATTTCTGGTAAAACTAAAAGCAAGAAAAGCAGGGTGCCAGCCCCTGTGGGACTGAGTGTGAGGGGCTGGAGGAGTTTGAGTCCCATGCCCAAGTGACAGATGGATGGACATTTCGTCTGAAAGTAAGGAGACACGTTGGCAAATCAACCTCAAACCTAAGATTGCTTGTGAAGCAATCACAAGGAGGAACAAAAACAGACACAGAAGCAGAGGGAAAGATCAAACAGGCAAGAAGGGCGCAAACTGTGACAGACTTGCTGCTTCACCAACGACTCACCCAAGCCAGAAGAAAAATGTCCCTAAAGTTGCCAAGGAACTGGGATTTCAACCTGAAAGTAGAGGCTGCGAAAATAGGTATGGTCAGCGTCCTTTTGTCACCTTCGTGGTTCTTATACTTGAGTGCCCACCATTTGCATGTTGGTCTGCAGGGAACACGATCTACTTTAAAATGGATCTCACTGCAAATCTTTGGGGGAGAATTTGCATTCCAATGGATGTGTTGGCTCAAAGTTCCAAAGTGCTGGGAAGGGGTTCTCTTCCATTTGGAAGGAGCAATGGAATGGAGTTCCTTGATGTGTGGGATCTGGAGTACTTCAGATAGTCTAAGGCTACAGATCACACATAAAACTGAATTTTTCATCACATATCAAGGAAGAGTCACTTTCTCCTGTTTGGTAACTCATTCATATTTTGAATGGTTTTCAACAGGAGCACAAAGTGACCTGCTTTGTGGTAGACAGCAAGAACAAGATAGGGACATAGAGATATTTGAAGGTATAGTAAAGACAATTTTAAAGGAACAGAATGGAAGAGAATTCTTAAATGGAAGAGTGGGAAAGGAGATATATTTTTATTTTCTTAAGAGAGAGATATTTTTATTATCTTAAGGGTGGATGGTATATTTTCTGGATATTCTGACCTTTAATCCATAGCTCTCCTTCTAATGATTATGGTGATACATTAAGTTTCATCTGTTATATAATTGTTATCATGAGGTTCCTTATGTAGATTTCTTCTATTATTAAATTGATCACAGTAATTTAGGGTAGAGCATTTGGGCTGAAAACTATTACCTTTATTTATATACCCTGCCCACATATGATATAACTTTCTTGATATTAGGCATAGGAAAATATTAAGGTGTTTCTAACAGCTTGGAGGAGTTTTGTTTGGAACAAGATATAGATTTGAACTTCTAATGGTGTTTAGTATGCTACTAAAATAAAGTGCTCCATTGAAAATTTACAAACATGGAGTGTTAATGATGTAGGTCTGAGAAAGAATTTGAAAGAAAACTGAGAGTAATAAGAGAAGCCATTTACCTTGGTCAAAAGGGGATGAGTGTTTTCTAATCAAGCTAAAAATCATTGTGTGCTGAGGTCAGTTTAGAAAAAAGGTATTGTTTATACCTCTTACGTAAGCGAGAGAATTTTCTTCTAACTACCATTGATACAAATGTGCTTGGTTAATGCTCAATCTAGGTCATAAAATTGTATTTTTTTAGATGTAAAACTTCCATGGTTCTGTTCCTTTGAAAGTGTTCTGCTTCTGGTTACATAAGGTCATTCTGCCCTCTCACCATTTGTGTTTGAACAAGTATTAGGGTCCTCCTCTCCTTTGGTTTAAAAATGGGAAACTTGAGACAATTAATAGTTAAGTGATTCTTTTCAGCAATCTAGGAAATTACCACATTAGAACTTAACCTCTCAACTCATGCCTGGGATTAGTTTGGGTGAATTTCATGATTCTTTTTACCTGTATTTCTTAAAGAGTGGTCCCATGGATAGCCTGCATTAGTCTCCACAAGTGCTGGCTAAAAATACAGATTTCTAGGCATCCTCCTTACAAAATCAGAAACTCTGGAGAGAAGCCCAGGGTTCTACATTTTAACAAGAACCCTCCCCATCATTCCCACCTGATAAAGACCTCCCACTGTAGGTGTTGTGGTCTATGTTCTCTGGCTTCAGAGAGCTGCCATCCATCTAGCATAAAGCATAGTGCCTGGACTTACTGGGCACACAATAAATATTTGTTGGCTGAATGTATGTTTGACTATAGGCAGATTTTTTTTTTAGTATTACTTAATGAAAAATAATAACAATGCCATAATAAAATATACAGGAGCCTTTGTCATCCATGCCATCTATAAGTTTGCTGTCCTAAGGGATTGGACTGCTGTAGAATGCATGTATGAGTGTCACAGGAACTAGAATTCAGATCATGAGCCAAATGTTCTGAAAGGGCAGGATCCCTGACTCAGTCACAGGACTTCTGGTTCCATCTCCAGCTTCTGTGCCCAGGTCCAAATGTAGCAACTGGCTTATCAATGTATCAAAGAAGCTCACCTCTGTTAGAGAAACCTGTGGAACTAAGAGTCATATCAAGAAAGTCAATGACCTGTGATTTTTCCAGCCTGGGTAGTAAAGAGTAAATCAGGTTTTCTCAACCTGGAAACCATGGACACTTTGTGTTGGAGAGCTCTTTGTTGTGGGCCCTTTCTTGTGCATTATAGGATATGTAACAGCATCCGTGGCGTCTTCCAGTAGTTGATGGTAGCAGCCCCCTACCACCACCAGTTGTGACAACCAAAAATGCCTCCAGACATTCCCAAATGTTCCTTGGGGGCAGGGAGTGAATGAACTTCCTTTGTTGAGAATCACTGGAGTAGATGATCACCAAAAGTGTAGATTATAAATTCACTTGGGATTAGAGCCCAAATATTAACTCATGATACACTTTCTAAATCCATTTCCAGGAGGCTTTTATTGAGATGTGACTTCAGGGGGATGGACTGTAGCTTAGGAAGAACAGCAGGATAGACACTTGGGGAAATAGCAAGACCTTGGCCCAAGATGTGACCCAGAAAGGGGCCCCCGCTTTTTTTTTGGTGAGCTGCACTTCCAGTTTCCCCTAAATCCTGTGAGTGAAAGTGAAAGCCCTTGAGAGTTGGGGGATGGGACTCTCCACTGTACTTTCATTTTGGAGCTGAGGGGAGTCTTACCAGACAGCAGGAATGACCCAAGACCAGCACCATGAGCTTGGCAGATCTTCATGCAGTGATGAAAGAACACGACAGACCATTCTGCATCAGACTTATTGATCTGGGTGGGGATTTAGTGGTAGGAAGGAAAAGGGGAAATGCAGAGCAAACATTCTTGACTTGAGATGGAGCCAAGAATACACATTTCTTCCTTTGATACTTTATCATCTTTAGTATTAGTCCAGAATTAGAACTGTGACAGCCTTTCACTGTGTTCCCGCACTGTTATTCAAATATTTTGCTCTTTCGTCTGTCTTTCTAACTGAATTGTCATTCTCGGAGTGCAGGTCCAGACTTTCTGGGACCTCCAGTCCCAGGGTACAAGGCTGTCTTGGAAGAGCTACATGGCATCCCAGTGACCAAGCCAGACTACTTGAATATATTTTTACATGTTGTCTGAACACTGAAATGCGGATTCTCCAGGTTGGGGATCCTGAAACTAGGCAGCCCATGGTGAGCTAGTCTGTGCTTATTTGATGTTCAGTTTTGGCAAGAGCTTTCCTTAAAATTCATTGTCAAACTTACCATGTATGAATTCAGACCACTCTGGATTCTGGACAAAATGTAGTCTATTTGCTATGACTGAAGTCTTTCCACTCAATGAGTGGCTCTCGGTCCCTGATGGATAAAAGTCCCTACATAGGCAGGTAGAGTCAAAGATAAGAAAATGCCTTCCTTAGATAGTGAACACCTACACAAAAGGGTGCTCCTTCCAGGGCCTATATCTGTCTTCATGTGGTTACATCATTATCCCGTGTTCAAGCAAAAACGCCTGTTTCTGTGTTGTCATGACTTAATCCTAATAAATTAAATTTTCTCCACAAAGTACACGCCTCCTACTACCCAGACTGACAGCCTCCAGGCCCCTTGAGAAACAAGGACTGTTGTCAAGCAGAGTAAGAACCAAACTAAGTGGTAATGGGAAGAAGAGACAACCTGGTTTTATATCTGCTCATGCACAAAGTTGTCTCTACAGACACTAGACAAGGTCAACTTAGATTCTGTAGCAGTCTTAGCCTGGGATCCAAGTGCACTTGGAGTGGCAGAGGCTAGCCAGTGACTTTTAGTCTTTTGTCTCTGAAAGTGGTTATGGGTTGAGATACATCATGGCCCTAGTGTGGGAATACCTTGCTATACGTCACTTATAGTAGTGCCAGTGCTGTTGTCTCCCTGTCTCACACATCAGTTTATAAAGCATTTTGACATAGTGTACTATGGGAAAACTCTCTGGCAACTCCACACAGCTGGAATGTGGTCCTTTAAGCAAGCAATGTCCACTCTGAAGGGTTGGCAAGCTCCTAGGACCGATTAAGAGTAAGCACATGACAACGGTCTCTTCACACACAAAACAGCCTGAAAGGAAAGAATCTTGCATGAAGCAGCACAGTGGTTGACTAATTAGGTAAGTTAAGATACAAGAGATGGGAGGGTGTAAAGATCAGAAGCAAAACCCCAGCTGTGACCACAGCAACTGAGACCATATGGTACCTGGGGAGAAGGAGAGAAAGCATGAACAAGGACCACAGTGAGGCACAGGCCGATCAGAGGGATTCCATCACAGAGGATGGCATGGAAATTTTGTAGAGTCCTCAGACAGGAATGAGATATGAAATGTTATAAGGTAGCCGGGCTCGGTGGCTCAGTCTGTAATCTCGCACTTTGCGGGGCTGAGGTGAGCGAATTGCCTGAGCCCGCCGGTTCGAGACCTGCCTGGGCAGCCAGACCTCATCTCTACAATAAATCAAAAAATCAGCGGGGCGTGGTAGCGCATGCCTGTAATTCCGGTTACTTGGAAGGCTGAGGCGGAAAGATCGCCGGAGACCAGCAGGTCGAGGCTGCGGTGGCCGGGAGTGGCTACTGCACTCGTCTGGGTGACAGAGTGAGACTCCAACTCAAAAAAAAAAAGAAAGAAAAGTAACAAGGTGAGCAAAAAATTTACATTTCTTGTCCTATGCTTTACTTATCAGGCTTTTTCTCTTTAAAACCTTGTTTAAAAACTAAAAATCACTTCACCAAAAAAAAAAAAAAAAAATGATACCCACAGGTATTTAAATAGGAAGACAGTCTAGCAGAGTGTGCGGGCAAGGGGGCACAGGCAAGGAAAAAATTGCAGTACAGTGAGGAGCCATAAGGGGCAGCCATAAATAAGAATTCTGGTCCCGCCACCCCTGTCTACCATTCCCTTTCTTTGAGATAGAAATGTGTATATTCTTCAGTGAGTCCCAGACTTGCCATCTTTCTTACACTGATTTTCCTGCACATAGTCTCTGCTTCTTTGGGGAAGCAGAAGTTTTTATAATTTTGTATAGTTCTA